CCTCAAATTGTTGGGAGCAACGATGCCGCGCCCGACCTAGGTCGGGCGGATACTACGGAGGCTAGCGCCTCCACTAATTGCTCCAGGGTTTCCCCCGGAGCGGGCACACCAGACTGGAGTTACCTCCGTGCAAACCCCGGTGATACACCACAACACCTCAGCGCAGACAAACAAAAAAAGAAACAAAAAACAATAATAAACTTAACCTAACTTTTTTTTTTTTTTTTTTTTTTTTTTTTTTTTTTTTTTTTTTTTAACGTGTGGAAAATCTTCAAAAGACCGTCACCTCGCCGGAGGGATGGCGAGGTGGTGTGTGAGACTTGACTCACTAAAAACCACACGGTGTACCTACGAGCGCCTATGCCGGAGCCAGGGGATTCGCAAGTGCATTCTACCCCAGCTCCGACGGCGACGGCCCGCCCTGTAGATGTTGTAGGGCAGGCCCCATCTCGTTTTGTGGTTGGGGCGACCTATTTCGCCCTACTCCATTGTGGAGGCGTGTGGGTACACGCGCACACCTCCGGGGCCTTTGGATTGGGGGACTGCCTCCCTCAAGGCAGTCACCCCGGCCCCAGTGGGGGATAGAGGGGGCGGAGTTGGGTACGCCCCCACCTCTAGGCCTGGCTCTTCTGCGGCGGAGGGAAGCGGGACGAGTCTGACTTCCCGCTCCCTTTCCGCCGCCTCCTTCCGCGAGATAACTTCCTCGCAGAAGGAGCTCACCGCCAGCCACGATCTCTCGCTACTGATCATCCTCCGAACTAAATTCGGCAGCGAGAGATCGTCCCCCACTATTCGTGTGAGGACACGGCGCTCACTCTCGAACGCTGGACATTCGTCCAGCGTGTGTTGCGCCGTGTCCTCAACACCTCCGCACTCGTGGCAGCCGGTCGTCGGCTCCTTCCTCGCCACATGACACAGATACCGCCCGAAGCATCCGTGCCCGGACAGTATCTGCGTCATGCGGTACGTCAGTGGCCATCTCCTATTCATCCACCGTTTGAGGATGGGACGGACAGCCTCGACGGTCCTCAGGCCGGCCGATGGACTGGCCAGCCTTTCTCTCCACCTGATCCTGAGGATCCGCCGAAAGTCGGACCTCCGCGCTTCGATCTCATGACCAGCGGGTGCCTCCCCCATGGAACGTCGCTCCGCGCGCCAGTGATACACTGACGCGTGGAGCTCCGCTACCAAGTCCCACGGAGGAGACCCCGCCAGCAGACCCGCCGCCTCCCCGGATATGGTGCGGTAGCCTCTAATGGCCCTGATGGCCATGGCCCTGTGTGGCCTGTTAAGACAGGCCACATTTTCCTACCTAGGGCCCCCACCCAGATGGGGGCCCCGTACAGGGCCATGGACCGCACCACACCGAGGTATAAGCGGCGGGAACCTTCTCCCGGGCCCCTCACGTTTGGCAGCAGCCAACTAAGTGCGCCGGCGGCTGCCATAAGGCGAGGGACCAGGTTCCGGAAATGAGCGCGGAAGCTCCAACGACTGTCCAGGTCAAGCCCCAAATACCTAATACAGGGCTTGACCCCCACCCTCTGGCCACTGACGACCAGCTGGGCATCCGGAGGTGGCGCGCGCCGAGGCCCATGAAAACATAGGACCTCGGTCTTCTCCAGCGCCACCTGGAGCCCAAGCCTCCTTATTCGGCCGACGACCAGCGCCACGCTTGCCGTGGCAAAGCGGGTAGCCTCCCGTAGGTCCCGCCCCCGGGCAGTGACCAAGGTGTCATCCGCGTAACACACGAGGTCAGTGCCCGTTAAAAGGGCGCCCCGCAGGTTCCAATCATACCCGATGTTCCACAGGATCGGGCCCAGAACCGACCCCTGTGGAACACCGCGTTGCATGTCCCTCGGCACTACAACGCCGTTCCGCCCCGTGCATAGCACAGACCTGTCCTCGAGGTAGGCCCCGATCACGTCCCGAATATAGGGAGGCGCGCGATGGTATTTCAGCGCCTCCCTAATAGTCGCAAAGGGCAGGGTGTTGAAGGCGTTCTTTATGTCCAACGAGACCGCCAACAACACCCCACCCTGGGACGTCGCCTCTTCCGAGAGGGAGCGCACACGCGAGATCGCGTCGATCGTCGAGCGCCCCTCTCGGAACCCGAACTGCTTCGGGCTGAGATCGGGACCTACCTGGGACAGGTGTTGGACGAGTCGGCCCGCCAAGATTCGCTCGAAGAGCTTGCCGATCTCGTCCAACAGCACTATGGGGCGGAACGCCGAGTGCGCAGCTTGCGACAGAGCCTCGGGAACCCCACACCGGTAGCACAAGCCACTCCGGTCCTCCTCGTGCGAGCACCTGGCCAGCACGTGCCCGCTTTCGAGGCACCGGAAGCACCGGAGTGGCTTCTGCCGCAGCAGTTCCACAGCGGCTGAGACCCAGCCGATCCGGATCCGCCCTGCCGTCGTCACTTTCTTGACCGCGGCCAATGGGGCCCGCACCCAGCAGGTGCCCAGGCCCGACGCGCCGCGCCGAATCTCCCCGACATTGACGGCGTCCGCCGTGCACTCGCCGTGCTGTGCCACGGCGGCCGCCACCTCTTCCCGGTCGGTACCGTCATCCAGGCCCATGACCCTCATCTCTGCGGTCTTGGTGGGCCTGGCGATGCGGACCGTACCTTCCGGGAAGACGTCCCGGAACTTCGACGCGAGCGCGTCGGCCTGGTCTCCCGTCTGGGACCCTGGGATCTCCAGGATCCGGGCCCCAGTAGCCGCGGTCTTGAAGCGCAGGCTTCCTATCCCCAAGGAGGCGAGGTTGATTTTATCCTTCGCCTCCTTGAGGACGGCGGAGTAAGTGACCCCCGCCGCTTCTGCCTCCGGACAGAGTGTGACGACCACAGCCGCCGATCGCGGCGCACGCAATTTCGATGGCGACGGCGGGGCCGGCTTAGCCTTCTTCCCCTGAGAGGGAGCCCCAGAGGTCCTCCGAGTACTTTGAGTACTCTGAGTCTGCCTCTCAGAGACGTTGCGGTTTTTGCCGCCCCGTCGCACCACCGTGCTCCAACCATCGTTTGCGCGCCCCGCGCCCGACGGCCCCGGCCGCTGACTGCCAGAGGCAGGCCGGCTGGTAGGTTGACTCGCCGGAAGCGGCGGGAATTCCGCCCCTCGCGCCCCCCGCAGATGGGGAGCGTCTCTGAAGCCCGGTCCCCCTGCGCCAGGGATGCGGGACAAAACCTCGTACTGCCCGTCGCTTTGCAGCGGCGGGCGGTGTACCGGGCGGATCGACGCCTCCTGAAGGGATTGCACTCGTGAGATCATCTCCTTCAACTCCTGGAATCGGGCGTCGACCATCAGCCCGGTCGAGCGGAGGAGTTCCGCCCGCAGGTCCTCAGTATCCACTGGCGCCGGGGCCGGGCCGGGTGCTCTCTCCCTCGCAGGCCCCTGTAGTGCCTGGGAAGCGGCTGAAGGGGTTTGCGGCCCCGACCTCGCCGCGAGTTGCCGCATCTGGGCTTGGAGCGCCTGGAGTTGGCTTCGGAGCTCCTTATTCTCCTTACGGAGCTCCTCCACCTGTCCTTCCAACTTCCGGCGCTCGACGGCACCCGCGGTGAAGTCCTTGTTGACGACGGCACTGCTGTCAAGCTCCTCTGCCATCATCAACACGGAGCCGATGGACTCCTTCAGCCGCCTCTGGTCAGCCCCCTTCAGGTTCCCGCACCTGTGAACCGTGTCCAAGGCAGCCCCCAGCTTTTTCTGGGCCTCCGCCCTGAAAACGGCCACAGGCTGCGGGTCCTCCTTTGGGGGGACCTTCCCCTTCCCCACAGGGACCCCCGAGGGTCGGACAAACGTCCCGTCATCCCCCGTTTCTCCTGCCGCCGGGACTTCGGCGACGTTGTCGGACTGTCTGTGCCTACGGGCACCATCAGAACAATCCCGTTCCCGGGCGACGGGCAGGGGATCTTAGACGGCTTGGCACTCCCGCCCGCCGCCCCGGAAGGGCCCGGTCCATCCGCGTGCGGCCGCTTCGGCACGGCCGGTTTCGCGAGCCCGTCTTCGATCGACACCAGGCACCCGGACATCTCGTCCTCCACCAGCATCGAGCGCGTCGAGCGCGTAGAGCGCGTCGACGACGCTGAGGAAGGCCGAGATGCCCGCGACCTGGCCCGCGAGACGGGCCGCGACCTCGCCGACCGCACCGTGTCGGCGTCCGCTAGCGTGATGGAGTCCGACATGGACCAAAACGCTAAGTCCCGGGGCAGGGACAAACACTCCTCGTCCCCCCCTACGGGGGACGGGAAAAGGAAGGGGCTGCTACCACCAGCCAACTTCCTCAACCCGACAACAAAGGGGTCACGCCCGACCTAAGTCGGGCGGGTACAATGGAGGCTTGCGCCTCCACAAACTGCTCCAGGGTTTCCCCTGGAGCGGGCGCACTAGGCAGAGTTAACCCCTGCTCAGTGCAGCCACTCCCGGTGAACACCACACCGCCACCTCAGCACAATAAAAATAAAAAAGAAAAGGAAAAAAAAACAAGAATCAAACTTAACCTAACTTAACCTAACTATGTACAGAACCTAACCTAACTATATATACAAATACCATTAAAAACAAACAAACAAGGAAAGATAAACAAACAAAACAACAAAAATGTGCCAAAAACCAAAGACCTCAATCCAAAAAACCAAATAAATAATCAAAAATGTGGAACCAAAAATTCCTTCGAGCCGGATTTGAACCCATCTTAACCTAACTAAGCTAACCTAACTATATATTTACAAACTTAACCTAACTAATTAATAAAAGGAAAAAAAGAAAAGAAAAAAGAAAAACACGAAAGAAAAACAAATCACACTAAAACACTACAAAAGTTGCGCCCAAAAACCAAAGACCTATTGATCCAAAAATGTGGTCAAGTTCAAAAAATGTGGTCAAGTTGTGCCTTAACCATTTTGTGTGTTCCATCCTTGTCAAGGGGAGTGCTAACCGTCTCTCCTTTCAATAGACACAACCTAACCTAACCTTTTTTTTTTTTTTTTTTTTTTTTTTTTTTTTTTTTTTTTAACGTGTGGAAAAATCTTCAAAAGACCGTCACCCCGCCGGAGGGATGGCGAGGTGGTGTGTGGGACTTGTACCCACTAAAAAACCACACGGTGTACCTACGAGCGCCTATGCCGGAGCCAGGGGATTCGCAGGTGCATTCTACCCCAGCTCCGACGGCGACGGCCCGCCCTGTAGATGTTGTAGGGCAGGCCCCATCTCGTTTTGTGGTTAGGGCGACCTATTTCGCCCTACTCCATTGTGGAGGCGTGTGGGTACACGCGCACACCTCCGGGGCCTTTGGGTTGGGGGACTGCCTCCCTCAAGGCAGTCACCCCGGCCCCAGTGGGGGATAGAGGGGGGCGGAGTTGGATACGCTCCCACCTCTAGGCCTGGCTCTTCTGCGGCGGAGGGAAGCGGGACGATCTGACTCCCGCTCCCTTTCCGCCGCCTCCTTCCGCGAGATAACTTCCTCGCAGAAGGAGCTCACCGCCAGCCACGATCTCTCGCTACTGACCATCCTCCGAACTAAATTCGGCAGCGAGAGATCGTCCCCCACTATTCGTGTGAGGACACGGCGCTCACTCTCAAACGCTGGACATATTTCCAGCGTGTGTTGCGCCGTGTCCTCTACACCTCCGCATTCGTGGCAGCCGGTCGTCGGCTCCTTCCTCGCCACATGACACAGATACCGCCCAAAGCAGCCGTGCCCGGACAGTATCTGTGTCATGCGGTACGTCAGTGGCCATCTCCTATTCATCCACCTTTTGAGGGTGGGACGGACAGCCTCGATGGTCCTCAGGCCGGCTGACGGGCTCATCAACCTCGCCCGCCATTCGATCCTGAGGATCCGCCGAGAGTCGGACCTCCGCGCTTCAATCTCGTGACCAGCGGGTGCCTCACCCATGGAACGTCGCTCCGCGCGCCAGTGATACACTGACGCGTGGAGCTCCGCTACCAAGTCCCACGGAGGAGACCCCGCCAGCAGACCCGCCGCTTCCCCGGATATGGTGCGGTAGCCTCTTATGGCCCGTATGGCCATGACCCTGTGTGGCCTGTTGAGGCAGGCCACATTTTCCCTACCTAGGGCCCCCACCCAGATGGGGGCCCCGTACAGGGCCATGGACCGCACCACGCCGAGGTATAGGCGGCGGGAACCTTCTCCCGGGCCCCTCACATTTGGCAGCAGCCAGCTAAGAGCGCCGGCGGCTGCCATAAGGCGAGGGACCAGGTTCCGGAAGTGAGCGCGGAAGCTCCAACGACTGTCCAGGTCAAGCCCCAAGTATCGAATACAGGGCTTGACCCCCACCCTCTGGCCACTGACGACCAGCTGGGCATCCGGAGGTGGCGCACGCCGAGGCCCATGAAAACACAGGACCTCGGTCTTCTCCAGCGCCACCTGGAGCCCAAGCCTTCTTATACGACCGATGGTCATCAAACTTTTTTTTTTTTTTTTTTAACGTGTGGAAAATCTTCAAAAGACCGTCACCTCGCCGGAGGGATGGCGAGGTGGTGTGTGAGACTTGACTCACTAAAAACCACACGGTGTACCTACGAGCGCCTATGCCGGAGCCAGGGGATTCGCAAGTGCATTCTACCCCAGCTCCGACGGCGACGGCCCGCCCTGTAGATGTTGTAGGGCAGGCCCCATCTCGTTTTGTGGTTAGGGCGACCTATTTCGCCCTACTCCATTGTGGAGGCGTGTGGGTACACGCGCACACCTCCGGGGCCTTTGGATTGGGGGGACTGCCTCCCTCAAGGCAGTCACCCCGGCCCCAGTGGGGGATAGAGGGGGGCGGAGTTGGGTACGCCCCCACCTCTAGGCCTGGCTCTTCTGCGGCGGAGGGAAGCGGGACGAGCTGACTCCCGCTCCCTTTCCGCCGCCTCCTTCCGCGAGATCACTTCCTCGCAGAAGGAGCTCACCGCCAGCCACGATCTCTCGCTACTGATCATCCTCCGAACTAAATTCGGCAGCGAGAGATCGTCCCCCACTATTCGTGTGAGGACACGGCGCTCACTCTCGAACGCTGGACATTCGTCCAGCGTGTGTTGCGCCGTGTCCTCAACACCTCCGCACTCGTGGCAGCCGGTCGTCGGCTCCTTCCTCGCCACATGACACAGATACCGCCCAAAGCAGCCGTGCCCGGACAGTATCTGCGTCATGCTCGTACAGCTGTGCTTCCTCGTCGGCGTCGCGGCCCCGCCTGAGTCGGCGGTGCCTGGTGTACCGGCGGCGGGCGGCGGAGCACTCCTCCCTCAATGCCGCTATCTCCTCCGACCACCAGTACACCTGACGCCTAGGAGGTCGAGGGCCGGCTCGGGGCATCGCCGCGTCGCAAATGTGCGACAGAGCCTCACCGAACCAGCCCACCTCTGCGTCGACCTCCACAGGCCCCTCCGGTATGGGAACCCAGGCCTGGACGATGGAAGCCTCCATCAGCACGTCTTTATTCAGACGTTTCAACACCCATCTGGGGAGTTGTGGGACATTCCTCTCCTGGCGACCGGGGTGCGGAGCTACGGGTGAGGGGAGAACGTCTATCCGAATGTAACGATGATCGGATAGCGTCTCCACCTCATCCAACACCTGCCAGCTCCGCACCCTCTGTGCGATCGCTGGACTGCAGAGGGATACGTCGACATGCGACTCCCCCTGCTGTCTCACGCACGTGGCGGCCGACCCTCGGTTCAACACCACCAGGCCGGCCGCGGCCGCCCAGTCTTCCAGGACCCTGCCTCGAGAGTCGGTGATGGGGGAGCCCCATGCCGTGGATTTGGCATTGAAGTCCCCCATCACCATCATTGGACGGGCCGAGTATAGCTCCAGAGCGGCCCCCAGCCCGTCCATGAACTGCTCGAACTCGGCGAGAGTCCTGTTCGGAGAGAAGTATGTCCCGACAACGACGGTTTCCCCCCAACTCACACCTATGTACCCCGCTCCGCCGAATAGGCGGCTGACGAGCGGGGTCGCGGGGTTGCCCGCGCCGACAATGGCCACCAGGCCAGAGGGGTCGCCGAACCAATGGTCACTTCGTGGGACACGATATGGTTCGGCGACCACTGCAAGGTCAACTCCCCACTGCGCCGCGCTCTGCAGAAGCAGATCTTGGGCGCGCGCGCAGTGGTTGAGATTCCCCTGCAGGAGGCGATGGACTGCCATTATTGACCAGTGTCCATCACCTCAGCCTCTCCCCGGCGGCCATTGCCACGGGCCGACGACAGTGCGGATCCCCTCGATCTCTTGGACCGGGACTGGGGGCACTTTTTGGCCCCCACCCGGTGGTCTGCTGGGCGACCCGCCGCTGCGCAAACTACGCAGTGTGGGGCCGCCGAACATCCGGCCGCTTTGTGGCCGGGAACCCCACACCGGTAGCACAAGCCACTCCGGTCCTCCTCGTGCGAGCACCTGGCCAGCACGTGCCCGCTTTCGAGGCACCGGAAGCACCGGAGTGGCTTCTGCCGCAGCAGTTCCACAGCGGCTGAGACCCAGCCGATCCGGATCCGCCCTGCCGTCGTCACTTTCTTGACCGCGGCCAATGGGGCCCGCACCCAGCAGGTGCCCAGGCCCGACGCGCCGCGCCGAATCTCCCCGACATTGACGGCGTCCGCCGTGCACTCGCCGTGCTGTGCCACGGCGGCCGCCACCTCTTCCCGGTCGGTACCGTCATCCAGGCCCATGACCCTCATCTCTGCGGTCTTGGTGGGCCTGGCGATGCGGACCGTACCTTCCGGGAAGACGTCCCGGAACTTCGACGCGAGCGCGTCGGCCTGGTCTCCCGTCTGGGACCCTGGGATCTCCAGGATCCGGGCCCCAGTAGCCGCGGTCTTGAAGCGCAGGCTTCCTATCCCCAAGGAGGCGAGGTCGATCTTATCCTTCGCCTCCTTGAGGACAGCGGAGTAAGTCACTCCCGCCGCTTCTGCCTCCGGACACAATGTAACGACCACAGCCGCCGATCGCGGCGCACGCAACTTCGATGGCGACGGCGGGGCCGGCTTAGCCTTCTTCCCCTGAGAGGGAGCCCCAGAGGTCCCCCGAGTACTCTGAGTACTCTGGGTCTGCCTCTCAGAGACGTTGCGGCTTTTGCCGCCCCGTCGCACCACCGTGCTCCAACCTTCGTTTGCGCGCCCCGCGCCCGACGGCCCCGGCCGTTGACTGCCAGAGGCAGGCCGGCTGGCGGGTTGACTCGCCGGAAGC